CAGGCTGGCCTCAAACTTGCAACCATCCTCCTGCCTCAGCCTCCCGAGTGCTGGGATGACAGGTGTGTGCCATTATGCCCTGCTCTACCTCACATTTATAAGCAAGCACTCACCATACAGGCTACTGTCCCCCAGGGACACATCAACGGATCTCTAAAGTCTATTAAGGTCAATTAAAAATCTGAACAAAGCACACACCTATAATCCCAGCATTCTGGGAGGCTGAGGCAGGAGGATTACATATCTAAGCCTAGCCTGGACAGCTTTAGAGACATTCTGTCTCAAAATTTAAAAAAAAAAAAAAAACACAAAATTTAAAAGCCTGGAGATGTAGCACGGCATGAAGGCCGCAGGTTCAATCCTCAGTACCACCCCCCATACACACACATACACAGTGAAGAAGAAGTCTGTAATAAGCCCAGTAAATAAAACACCTGAACCCACCAGAGGTACAACTAGTTCTCACAAGAACAAGGACTGTATACCTTGCCCCTAGTACAGCTAATGACCCCAAGAGTGGTGGTTTTACAAACAAGAGTAGAAATATTCATGAGATAGCAAATTACATTTTCAGTATTAGTCAAACGTCTGTAGAACTACATCTTTCTAACTTTCTCCCGAAAAGAAATCTTTTCCCACCCTGCATTTCATCCTGAACATTTTACTATGTTCAGCATAGTAGCAACTGAAAAAAAAAATGTGTTTCATCTAGAAACAAAAGTGAGAAAACTTCAAAAAACACTGCGCTTCTGCACTGCTAGGTTTCCAAGTTTTTAATATAAAGCTAAAATAAGGCAACATAAAGACGGTTTTACAGTAGCCAAACTTAACAAGTGCCCTGAAAAACAACCACAATCGAACCATAACAGATTATTTGTACAGCATGAGCACATAATGGACAAGCGAACATTTTTTTTTTTTTGTCAATTTGCCTTCTCAGTCATGCAATTTGCAAGCTCAAAATTTTTTAGGGGCAGACAGGCTAATGCTCAATATGAGAATAAATCGATCCTTCAATGACTTTCTTATCGAAGTCGACAAGGCATGTTTTCTCATCCCAGGGCATGAAGTAATTCGATGTCAACTTGCTACGGTGTCAAATGCGACAAACTCTGAGAGCTCCAGTCGCCAGGCGGCGGCTCGCAGCACCAACTGCTTCCCACACTCCTGCAGCATCAGGACGCGGCGCCCTCTCGGTTCCGACGCACAACCTGCACTCACCGCCCTGGAGGCCGCAGGCAGAACACCTTCCCCCCAGTTTGGGGAAACTGAGGCACGGCGGCCGGAGATCCAGAGCCCAGCTAAGCCCCCGAGGTCGGCGTCCTCTTTTCCGAGGGGAGTCGCGAGGCTTGCGGGGCAGTGCGCAGTGCCTCGCGCTCCCCGCCCTCGGAGGTCACCCGCGACCCCAGCCCGCGCGGATCTGCGCATCCCGCGCCCCCGGAGCCCGCTGCCCCGATCCGGCGGAGCCCCCGCGCACCCCGCCTCGGCT